TTTTTTGTTCTTTTCCCCAAGAAGCATTGAGTTGTCTGCTTCAATTTCAAGATACGTCAATAAATATTCGCTCAATTTGGGGCTTTGAGGTATCAAAGGAGATGATAGAATGTTATTTTGTTTGATGAAAGACAACTTGTACTCTTCAGACCAAACGAAGTGTCTGACACTCTTGAAGTGTTTGAACAAAAAGAATATTTATTTCCTGATTTAGAAAAGAAACTACTCAAATCAAAGATTTGGCCTGTTTGTTTTTGCAATATTTTAGTGTTTCTAGGAGACATATCCACTATGTTTTTTTTTTAAGCTTTTATGATTCATCTTCATTTATTCTATGGTGATTAGGTAACCAAGAAACGTACTTGACTCTGTTCCGAATGTACACTTGAATAGATTAAACTTCACGTTGAATTCTCTTAGTGTTTCAAAGTTCTCTTTTAAACCAATTTTGTTCAAGGGATTTGCTCTTAATCAATATATCTAAAAACACTTCAACATTCCTTTTTTGATTTGATAATATTATATCTATCATCTTCTGGTAAGTTGTATACGTATTTTTAATGCCAAAAGTTACTACATCATTATTATAAACCCCATCTCTTGAATCTGCAGGGTGCATCTTTGATGTGATTATAACCAGAGAATGCATCCAAAAAACTCTCTACTGAATAGCTAAATATGGAGTCGACTAATTAGGTCATGGGAAATGGACTTTGCACTTGTCAAGTTCAAGTTGATTAAGTCTAAACACATACACTATTTATCGGTAGATTTTGACAGCTGCACCATTCTAGCGATCCACTTCGGGTTTTGAACTTCTCTAGTGAAACTTGCATTGAGTAGCTTCTAAACCTTTTGGCGAATAGTTTTTTCTAATGTAGTGGAAATTAGCCTCATCTTCTGCTCGAATGGTTGAATTCTGGGGTTGTCATTGAGTGCTTGACAAGAAACAACATGTCTAGCATCTTGTCTTGTGGAGAGCTTCAATTAATCTCTCGTTCAATCCAACATCGAAAGAAATGCTGAGGTAGCATTTCCTCTCATGTTTTCCATTGACAGAGGAAATTTTTCGACGACTTTATTAGTCTCTAGGCTGCTCCTAAGTGTCCAATTTTAAAAATTTTTTTGTACATTTTCTACTGCGCTTAAGGTAATAGGCTTGAGACTTCACCAAATAATCCTTGATGGTAAGTTCGCATCTCATGGTAATTTGACTACATTGTGGTAAGTTGAGACTACCGCCTGAAGGTGTTCAATAAAGATTGGTCAAAGATGACATTGTATATTGCTGGTGAATCGATTATGACAGTCTGTCATGGCAGTAAACTGTTTTTCAAATGATTGAGAGAGCAATGAGTCCAACAACTCTTTCTTTTCCATGACAAAATAAAAATTGGATTCGATGTGGTAGCAAAGTGTGATGTCTCCCCCAAGCCAATCTTATCGTAGATGCTTTTTGAGGAGTATATTGACAGAGCTACCAATGTTTATGAGAATGTTGTCAATTTGATAGTTTGTAGTCAGTTCTGTGACCATAGTAACATCATTGTAGGGATTTCTCTTAGCATGGAGATCTTTGTCAGTTAAGATTATGGATGGTTAACTAGCTATCGATGGTTGAGAATAGTTCACCTTGCATGTTGGAAGCCGCTTGAGATTTGACTGATGAGGAGCTTCTGGTTCGTTTCCTCCAACGCAAGCCATGACTAGTCTTGCAATGTGGATGGCTTGCGTTGTGATAGGCTTGTTTGAAGCTTCTTCAATGAGTGTTCTTTTTCTTATGTTTGCACCCAGTGCGTTGAACTCTTTCAGCTTTCTGGCTTTCATTAATTCTTTATTCAGATTCCTTAAAATGTCTATATTCATTAATGTCATGGTCGTGGTTTATATGGTATGCACAATACTTTTTTTGGGTCATATAGGTGGCCTAATTTCATGGATGTTAGCCTTCGAAAATATTCTTTTTTTCTGGATGGCTTCAAAGGCTTAAGCTATTGAAACTCTTAATGGGGTCACAAATAGTGGACGTGGAATCGGAGATGATGACCTCTCTAATCAATGATCAATTTTCCTTCTTCTTGATTAGTTCATCCCCCATAGGGATGAATCTGATGCTTCTTGAATCTCGTTGTGCTACTTTCAACATAGCGTCCTCCAAGTTCTTGGCTGAAGCAACAAAAGTTTCTCCTTGGTAGATGCTTCTTTTGGTGCTTCACTCCGTAGGTGCTAGGTTGTGAGTTGTATTCTTCTGTAGAGATATGGTTGTTGGTCTGCTTTAATAATTCTACTAGTGTTCTTGGGCATTGCAACCCAAAAGAGTAGCGGAAAGGACCTTCTATCATGCCCTGAGCCAGAGTGACATGATTGGCAATAAGTTCTACCTTCTGGAAGCGGTTTATAATGCTCTTTAATGACACTCCTGACTCTTGACGTATTCACAACAAGGCTTTTGAATTTCTGTCTTTTGGGTACTGTGAAATTGTGCGCAGCATGCATTTGAATTCGACAAATGAGGTGATCATCCCTAGTGGTAAGTTGTTGAACCAGCAAATGATTCTTGTTCAACAGTACCCTAACCTGTTCAACCAAGTTAAACAAATGAGGTGATTAAACAAAAAGGACTTTTGACAAAACAACTTACCACTAGAATTCGAGTTAAGATTATGGATGGTTAACTAGCTATCGATGGAATCTTGAACTTCTTAGGTGCCCTGCCGCAGCAAGCTTCTTGGTGAAGGCGTTCTCTACACTAGAGGAATCTGCACTGTTGGGGCAGTATATGTCATCCTTCTCTGGCGGAGTTGATGATAGAGCTCTTCTCGTCCTAATTGCTGGGTCTTTTTTTGGCACCACTGATTTCAGAGCATTAAATGGTGTTTGTGCTCTTGGCGCATGCTCTAAAGATTCTTTGATCATCATCGTCATTTGCTTATTCAATTCATTCATTTGATATAGAAAGAACTCTCTTGTACACTTGATGTTGGCAGAATGATCTCTATGATTTTGTTCTGCTCTGTGAATAACTCTACTTATAGTTTGCGGCATGTTCAACTCACTGTGATGTTGGATCCTAAAATGTTTGTAAGCACATACTACCTAGGAAAGCGCTGCGTTAGGATGGGAGAACCAGAAATAAAGCGACAGAGATTCTTGGGATCTTTTTGTCTGATGGAACTTTTATAAAGGATGGATCATGGAATCTCCAGAAATCCCTTCACTCACAATTATTTTTGTTTTTACCGCTGAGAAACTTATTCTCCTGGAATCCCTTTTTCTCCTGCCCCTTTTCCCTTTTCCTCTTTTTTATTTTTTTTGCGTGCCAGATACCTTACGGAGGCATCTCTATAGATAGATTCTGCTGGTTAGAGGTATGGTACATATAACACTACTCAAGAAACAAAAAATACAATCTAGTAAGTTTGAATTAAAATACATATCAAATAACCAATGGTGTGGCCGATAGGCGAGGTCTACAATCTCTGCTCGGGAGATTTCATCACAGGAGCTATCTGGCTGAATTGATGATCCGAGTTGTCTTTGGTGAATTGGTTGGTCGAATTGGCCGGGCTGTTGTAACAATCATCTGGTTGTACCATTTGATTGACCCATAGCTAGGACTTTTGACAAAACAATGCATATTCTTTTATGCTTTTAGCTGTAAAAACCAATGTAATGAGCAATCAACCTGTTCAACCAAGTAACCTAACTTTTCCTTCACTCTTGTTGGTTAAATTTGAAAACCACTTTTGTGATGATCAAATTAAGTTCCCAACCTAGTTGTAGTATTGTCTTCACTGTGGCTTTGCCTATTGATAATAAGCTCCGACTTTTTGCATACCACCGTGGCAATTTGTTGTTGGTGCACTATCCAGTACATCTCCCTGCTGTTCGTTGAAGATGTTAGCTTAATATGCAGTTACTTTGTTTAGAGAAGCCGTGACAGTTGGGAATTTCCAATATGGTTCCCTGATCGAGAGCCTTAGGTTGAAACTAAGGATCCCTGGTGAAAACCTAGCAGAAAGTTTCCAAACTTTTTATTGCGAACTAACCATTGGAAATTATACTTGGCTTTTGTAAAAGAGTAGTGGTTGCAATTTTTTATTGGGTTATATCAACTCTTAATCTTTGTTTAAATATGCCTTCCCTGGTATTACATTTGCACCAAATTACTGTGAAAAGCTGTTAGTGGCAGTGCATTTGCTTTCATTATATGATCTACAAGATAACATCAAAAATAGTGCTATTACGTACTACCATTCAGTGTTATTGTTCTGGATCCCACTCCTTTGCTCTTGCGTGCAATGCTTTTTGGTTGTTTTTGCACCTCTGATACTTCTCAACCCACACATAAGCTATGCTTTTGTAAAATCCTATCTTTAAATTGAACGGAGAATGTTAAATTCGATTGTCTGAAGGGTGTGTAATTATTAATCTGCAGTTTGATGACCCACATTGAAGAAAAGGAATAGTGAAATAATTGCATTAGGTAAACTTGTGAGGTTATTTAAATGTGATTCTATTTGTTTACTTGCCGTTGGACTACTAGTTTGTGTTTTGGCATAGACTACTTTTCTGCAGTATGGAAACTTGCTGATGCTTAATCTTTTTTGTTCAGTGTTACATTCTTGCATAATGTTGTTAATTGAAATGCAACTGTTAACCATCCCGTTAGAAATTGATATATGATTTTCTAGTTAATTCATTTAATTGGATAAATTTAAATCTTTACGTGAATGAACTACTTGCTTTTTCATGTCATTCTCTTTATCCTTTAAATTTGAGTAGTCGTTCAGTACGGTAGTTTTTTGTTTCCCCTTTCCGCTGTTTATTTTGCATTGTTTCTATACCACAGCAAAGCATGATAAATTACTCAGCTAGATAGATAGCACCTAGGGTGAAATTCTAGTGATTGCTAGGATTCAAATTTTTAAATGGGGATTGAGTGTTGGGGGGTACCATCTCCTTTTTCTTCTTTCTTTGGGATGTTGGTTATCATGAAGGGCAATGATGGGAAGCGGGGGGGTTACGGACGGGTACGAGGGCGCAAAGAGACAGAGAATGATGGAATCCAATCCCTACTTCGCAGTGAGCAGCGGAGGGGTGTCAGACAGCTACGACTTTGCTGCTGCCTCAAAGCGCCCTAGGATGCTGGAATCCAGCCCCTATTTTGGCGGGCCTGGCGCTGGCTCATTTTATGCTTCAGCATATGGGAACTATGGTGGTGGCCCCAGCAGAAGCAGCACCTACAGCTTCCCTGTGGTTCGTCTGCGTGGCCTGCCTTTCAACTGTGATGAGCTTGAAGTACACAAATTTTTTGCCGGGTTGGATGTCGTGGATTGCTTGCTGGTGCACAAGAACGGTCGCTTTTCAGGCGAGGCTTTTGTTGTTTTCTCTTCTCCAATACAGGGAGAGTTTGCCCTCCAGCGAAATCGGCAAAACATGGGACGCAGATATATTGAGGTCTTCCAGTCCAAGAAACAGGAATATTACCATGCCATAGCCGACGAGGTTAACAATGGTGGCTCATTTGATGGCGAACATCGGAGCGGCTCGCCAGCACCCCGTTTGAAGAAGACTTATGATGACAAGGATCAGATGGATTATACTGAGGTTCTCAAGCTTCGTGGGCTTCCCTACTCTGCAACGGAGACGGATATTCTCGACTTCTTTCGAGATTATGAGGTGAACGAGGGGAGTGTGCACATTGTTCGCCGCCTTGATGGGAAGGTTACTGGGGAAGCTTATGTGGAGTTTGTGTCGGCGGAAGTTGCGAAGAAAGCAATGTCAAAGGACAAAATGACAATTGGATCGCGATATGTTGAACTTTTTCCATCGACCCCAGAGGACGCAAGGAGGGCTGAGTCCAGGTTCAAGCAGTGAAGTCATTGACATAAGCATTGTTATGATTAGATTGTGCCTGTTTTTTTTTTTTTTTCTCTTGTTTCTTAGATTTTTATTCTGTTAGGGAGTTAATCTGTTCTATTGTGACTCTCTTCCTCAGGATGATTTATCATTATATTTTTCATGTCTTTTGTCAATGCTGGCTCTTTTCTATCTTAATTCTGGATATGCATACCGAGTAGATTTTTCATGGGGTTGATGCACATGCTCTACATTTTCTTACACTTGAAATTAGTTTACCTGGAGTAAATGATTTCCTCGCCAAATTTGAGTGATTGTGAATGAGGCGCTTTGCTTCTATGCCTTTTATTTGGGAAAAAAATGGCTCAAATAAAGACAAAGTCTTGTGTGTGTGTGTGTGTGTGTGTGTGTGTGTGTGTGTTACTTTTAAATGGTCTATTCACTTATGATTTATCTAAAATAAAATGCCTTGATTATTTTATAATAAAGTATATCATATTCTTTTATAAAATTTGATGTAAATATGTTTTGTTTTCCTAGTTTAAATTTATTGTAAAACATTTTCGTTAGTTAGAAGCATGGCTTCTTACAAGAGCCATGACAAGCATATACTAATAACAATAAGAAAGTTTGGTCAGAATGAGTGTTGGAGAGGTATGAACTTTTATCATTGCTGCTCGGCTTTTTAGTCATTCAACAACTTTATTTGGTTTTCTTTCATAGGATATATCCATTAATTGTAACTGGTGAGCCAAAAAAAAAGAAATAGATATATATATATTATTTCTTAGTCTCTCCATAACATGGAAAACCCAATCACTTGTATTTACTAGATATACTCTTTCTTATAAATTCAAGTGTCTGCTTTAAGATTATTTCTCAAAATATTGCAAAGATTCAGATATGATATTCCAATATAATTAAATACATATTTGGTTGCCCTATATATTCCACTATAGCTAATCCATTATCTATATAGCACAAACTTTTAAGAAGTGAATGACTAAATTACTGCTAAATGAAGATTTAGTAAACTAAACTAATATAGAAAGTTTTGTTTCACCAAATCAATGTATGATACAAAGAAACAAAAGGTTTACCATAAATCCTGTGTTAAATATTCTATTTACAAATATGCTTGAATAAAGTACAAGACAAATAAGAAGAAAAAAAATCTTCACAATTGAAAGAATGAACTAACTTTGGTCTCCAAGATTAAATCCCTTCTCTAGTCCTTTATCCAGACTTCTCTCATTGAATTTCTTCTATTACACAGGCTCTCACTCACTCACACTCTCTTAATCCACTCTAGTCTTATCTAGTCACTACAATACTCCCTCTTAACTTTAGCATCAATCCCCACACCACAACTACTCTGAAAACTACCCCACAACTCTCAAGGCCACTCTAAAACTACTTCAAACTGATACTATCAAGTCGTAGCACCTCAACCTTGCTTTTATAGCACTACACCATTGCACATGGCACTTCAATGCTACTTTGATAACATCATAATACTATCTTCTATGTTTTTGGAGTGCTGTAATAGAGCTGTAACGATGTTATAGTAACACTTCTACGACTCCTATGTTATATACAATTATAATAGCATTGCTATTATGACATTGTTATAGTAATTTCATCAATTTTTTAATCATTTCTAGTTCATTGGTTCATTCAAATTAAACACTCTAGTCTTATCTAGTCACTACAATACTCCCTCTTAACTTTAGCATCAATCCCCACACCACAACTACTCTGAAAACTACCCCACAACTCTCAAGACCACTCTAAAACTACTTCAAACTGATACTATCAAGTCGTAGCACCTCAACCTTGCTTTTATAGCACTACAACATTGCACACGACAATTCAATGCTACTTTGATAACATCATAATACTATCTTCTATGTTTTTGGATTGCTGTAATAGTGTTATAACGCTGTTATAGTAACACTTCTAAAAGTTAAATTTTATTAAATAGGAATAATTATTAACTAAAAATATCCTAAACATGTTTTCCACTAATATTCTGCTAAATATGGTTCCTTCAATGCCGTAGTGTGTTTCTAATTGACCTTATGAATACTAGTTAATCAATCAATATAAAATTTTGATATTAATCATGTTAATAATCATAATTAAGACTTTTTCCACTAAATATAATATCATAAATTTAAATTTAACTGAACTTTGATAACTAATATAATAGAATATAAGGCACCAATTTTCAATATTCATATCTAGACTCAAGATTTCTCTCCCATTTTCAATATTCAATATTCGCGAACAACTCGTGTTTGGCTCGTTAAGAAGCTCGTGCTTGACTCATTCGCTAAGTTAACGAGCCGAACATGAACAAAGAGGCTTGTTTTGGCTCAAAATACTACTGTCTATCTATATATTGATGAGTAGTATTTAAAAAAAAAATTGACCATAAGGCTACAAATATTTATAATCAGTTAAAAGTATTAATTAAAAAAACTGAGTAAAAATTATTAAATTAGAATCAAATAATGTTTTAATATAAACAACAATTTTTAAATCCTGCCTCAACCCTTAACATCTTATGGCTACGTGATTAGGGTTGTTAAAATGACTCTTTATTCATGAACAACTCATGTTCGGCTCACTAAACAAACACATTCGCTAAGTTAACGAGCCGAACATGAACAAAGAGGCTTGTTTTGGCTCAAAATACTACTGTCTATCTATATATTGATGAGTAGTATTTAAAAAAAAAAAATGACTATAAGGCTACAAATATTTATAATTAGTTAAAAGTATTAATTAAAAAAATTGAGTAAAAATTATTAAATTAGAATCAAATAATGTTTTAATATAAACAACAATTTTTAAATCCTACCTCAACCCTTAACATCTTATGGCTACGTGATTAGGATTGTCAAAATGACACTTTATTCATGAACAGCTTGTGTTTGGCTCGTTAAACAAACAAGCAGAACACGTACACACTTTTTGAGCTCGAAATATAAACGAGCCGCTAAGCCTGGGCTCATTCATGTTCGGCTTGTTTACACCCCTAATATCAACACAAGCACAATATAAGAATCTCTCCACCAAACTCAAAATTTACAAAATTAAAATAAATAAATAACATACAGGAGAGAGACTTTCCTGATTGATGAGATTAACCTTCTTTAGGGTCAACTTCATACTACGAAAGGGATTAAAAATATGCTTCATATGATGGTAAATTTGGATGACCATGACAATCAAATTGATTTCACAAGCACAACACCACTTTCCTATAAATATTATGCATTAAACAAACTTTTAATTACACTACTACAATTGAATATTAATACAAGATATCAAACAACCCTTGGGTTACCTCCAAAGCAACACTTAGTTTATAATCCTTAACTTGACCATGCCTTGCTCTTTAGGGTTTTATCTTCTTGATCTTCTCCCAACATTGTTTGTTCCATTGGAGAATTCCCTAAATCATTAAATTGCAATGCCAATTTATCACCTCTTTGAATAAGTAACCTTGCCTTAACACTCTAAATTTTCTTTCAATATTGCATGCAACTTATTTATCTCAATTCTTCAACAATCTTTGAGAGGATATGAAGGGGATTAACACAAGTGCCAAAACTTGACAAAGACTTTTAATTCATGCAAAAGAATGTGATATTTCAAAATAATATAGTAATGAATAAAGTATCATTTTCATGATTGAATTAATTTTTTTTTAAGCTAATCACTAATTTTTCAAATCTTAATTTTATTAAATAACTTGATAGTGATTTTTTGAAGAAATTATTTTTAATTTAAAGTATACAACAAAAATCATTTTTATGGTTTTCTAATGAGAGACAATACCCAAGATCTACAATTCACCTATACTGAATCTAAGTATCCTTCAATTACTGTTATCAAATGATAATAACATTATTTCATAATTTCTTTCAATAAACCTAATCACTTGCATTTACTAGATATATTCCTATCTTAATAAATTCAAGTGATTTATTTAAGATTATTACTCAAAAATTAAAAATTTTTAATTTATGGGTATGCCTATATACTCAAAGAGTTGTTTGATTTACCCTGTATGTTCTATGGCTCTTATGATGCCCTCTAGATCATACAGAATCTTGAGAACTGACTGGCCATATCATTTTTAGATTAAGTTCAAATTTATCAAGGTAATTTTTTTTTCACTAATCAACACATTATACATAAAAACACATAAGAGTTACCATAAATCCATGTTAAAAATTTGTCCACAAATATGATGTAATAATAATCCACATGATAGAATGTAATATAAGAAAAGAATGAACTAATTTTGGTCTCCTAGATCAAATCTCTTCTCTAGTCCTTTGTGCAGCCTTCTCCTAACTTTCTTCTACACACATAATCTTACTCACTCACACTCTCCAAGTACAATCTAGTCTCTCCTAGTCACGACAATACTCTTTCTTAACTTCAACATTGGACCCCCACGCCATAATTGCTCTAAAAACTTCCCAACAACTCTCAACTTAGCTCCAAAACGGCTTTAAATTGATGTTATTAGTTTGTAGCACCTCAATGTTGCTTATGTAGTGTTGCAGTGCTGCATATGGCACCATAGCACTATTTTTAAAGCACTGTAGTCGGCCATCAAGGCCAAGCATTACATATTCCTTATAAATGATGCAAAGCTCTCAATAAATTGCACACAGTAAAGTGGCCATCAAGAAAAGTTCATACGGAAAATTTTATAAATAATATCAAAAACTCATAATTTGAAGCAGCAACGTCCTACAGCATATTCCCTAAGGTCTAACTTGATTAAAGCACCAAATTTATTACAATAAAACTGAACCAAAGTAGAATAAGAATAGTCTCTTCAAAAGATTCTGGAGCATATATCATCATCACCACCCACAGCCATAACAATAGATTATGAACAACTCACAAAATGACATGCGTCAAGCAAATGTATATACAAAAGCTGTCTTTAGCATAAACAACTCGGTAAACAGGTAAAAGTAAACTATGAAGTCCCATATAGCAATAAATAAATCACAGAGCTTTTGAACGACACTGCTAATTATTCCATGCCGGGAAGTAGGCGGCAGCAAGGCTGCACTTGGTTATCACAAAAGGAAAACAGCAGCATGGCAAGCACGGGAGGGCCGTACAGACGCACCTCAATTGATATGGAAAAGGACAAAGAATGAGAGAGTTACCTGGATTCTAATGACCCAAGCTTCCCAATAGCCTCTCCACAGCAGCATGGACATTCCCGGCTGTAGCAATGAGAGCCCGGATGTTCTCCTGGGTATCAAAGAAACCCATTTCCTGAAGCTGAGAAAGCTGTGTGGCGTACAGCTCTTCCGGGGGCACTGCAAGAAGGTATAAACAAATTATTTATTTATTTATATTCTTACTTGAACTATGCTAGAATAAAATTTTCAGTCTGATAGAATATGTGACTACCATCTGGGTTGCTGGGGATGCCAAAATTACCACCTGCTCCAAGTCCGCCAAACATCTGCATCAAATGTTCCATTCCTGCGGTGGATGGCAAATGAAGGTTAAAGTTTAAATACAGACCGGGGCATGCATTCATCAAAAAATACTATCAGACTTTAATTGAAGGCCATAGACAGGCTGGTCTAATGCTAGGGAGTTTAGATAACTAGAAAAAGGAAAACTACTTGCATTTCTATGCAAAGCAAAAATAACGTAAGATCTCAATTTTATTTCTTGAAGTTAGAAATTACGATATAGAAAACGACAGCATCTTCTAAAACAATTATATGAATGTAAATGCTCAAAGAACTCCGAAAACCAATCAAATGAGATGAGCGGATGAAAAGGAAATCCCTCTTTCCATGCCCTATTTTCTATCTACAAGCAGACGAAAGGTAGATATATCAGAAGAGAGAATATAGAATGTTGATGGAGACCTATGCAGGTTTCTCCAAAAACCAGTGCTTGAATTTTTAAACGTGACACTAAGCAGCTAGCATCAATTCTGACCGTCCTTTCATAATTTAACCAAAACAAATATGTTTTGATGTCATTCAGCAAGGATCAGTTTGAGACCTCTCGTAAGTTTTTTGCACTTTCCCTTGAAGCAATGAGTTTTAGCCTGATAGAAGTGGGTGGGGCAGCTAAATTCACCTTGTTGCATGCAAAATGATTGGTTATCCGAAGCATTCAAGGCCATAGAAACAGATTCCAGTTAATTCACAGGAGTGTGCATCATGCCGCTACAGCTAGCATTCAACATTAAACACGGGAATAAAACCGAGAGAGAGAGAGAAACAGATGAAAATCAGCAAGCAGCAAAACAGCCTAACTTGTATATATGCCTACCTTCTACCTTGCAACCATGCTTGCATCAATTTTACCGCTAACAGAACTTGTGAATTAACAATATCCTTAATTTATCTGAATTTCCAATTAAATCATGCATATTGAATGCAATTTGATGCAAATAGTGCGACAATGTGAGTGTGTGTGTGTATGCATATATAAATATTTTTTATAAAAACCCAAGGGCAAATATATTAATACGGAAAAGATACAGAAATGTTGCATGAAAGGGCCTAAAAGAAAACCTAACTTATACAAAACAACACACACAAAACTCAAAAAAGCCAAGATACATAAAGGAAAAAAAACCAAAAGCCACAAAAGGGCACAAAAGTGCTAGGGACGTCCCACTTTAGTCCTCCTACCTCTAGTTCGCGGAAGTGAGCCAGCTAACAAATTAGTAAGGTGAGTATCATTGCCCGTAGTAGCCAAAGTGTCATCCATCAGATTCCTGAGCTCAAGTAGATTTTCATTTTTCTTCTTCCACCTGGACGTATAGACCTGTCATTCTTCATCCGATTATTGACTCATTTGATCAGTAGATTCTAAAGGTAGTCGGACAGTAGTAGGTTGTTGCAAATCATGATCCCCATAAGCCTAAGTAATACTAACATCTTTCTGGACCTGATGAGACAGTAGTGAAACAGTTATTACCACATGTATTACACTTTCCCCCACGATAGGAGGTTCCAAAGACGGGGGGAAGCTACAAGTGGGGACTGAATGGTTGACATATTGCCTACGGGGAAAGTGACGTCTTCCGGGGTATCCTAATGATGATCAATAGTGTCAAAAACTTGAAGCTGATCCGAAGGAAATGAAATCACAACCTCTAGCGGAGCAGTTTGCTTTTTTGGTCTGAGGTTGGGGTGTAGATGATGACATTGAGAACTGGAGTGTCCGAACATACGACAGTTCGAACAATACGACAGAAAAGACTCAATCTCTACCTTCTGCCAATATCCTTGGTGTTATGTGCCCAACCAAATTTCCTTAGAAGCGAGTGTATTGATGTCTTTTTCAACAAGTATTATGGCTTTAGATGGACGAGAAAGATTAAAAGTAGGGAAGTCCGTCTTGAGTGGCTTCCATAAACTAAGACAATAGAGTACAATACTATTTGAGAAAAATAATGAAATTTCAGACTAGGGAGACGAATCCAAACCGGACTGATTGGTGGTTCCGTCTGTGGGTCAAAATTCGCATACCATTTCAGAATCTTCATTGCTCTGTTATCAATCCATATTATTCTTCTTGCAAATAAGCGCATGTAATCATCTTCATTACTAATTTGAATAAGAATGTGTCTCCCATCTAATAGTCCAACTTTCCCCTCTCCAACAATGTGCATAAGTTCAAATTCTTTGCAAATAAGCTCCATTTTAGGATGACCATATAGAAATTTCCCAACCAAATTCAGACGACAGGAGGAAACAAGTTGAATACCTTCAACTTCTGTAAAAAGTATGACACTTCCTATACTTCCTAACAGGTTTCTTGATGTTCTCCACCCAATCAAAGAAGGGAGGGAAAGATGGCGATTTAGGTATGTCTGAGGCGTGGACACCCGCAAATGCAGCTGCATACGATCAGTCTGAAGCCATTGAAAGCTTTGAAAGAAAGATGAGATGACGCTGTGAGCACAGAGAAGCCGTAGAGGAGCCGCACCCGCGGGAGGGAGCCGCAAAGAAGCGAGACGGGCCGCAGAGAGCGAGACTCGTCTCAGACCCGGAGAAGAAGCAAGGAAGACAAACGGAATCGAGCGCAAAGATGAGCGAAGTCGTAGCTGTTGCTAGGGTTAGCCATCGGCCGAAACCCTAGCAGAGCCGAGCGGGAATGAAGACGATGCCATCATATTGAGCGGGATATATATATATATATATCTGTGTGTGTGTGTGTGTGTGTGTCTGTTGTTTTTAAATGGAATGGTCAGAGGCTATTATACGAGCCTCAGTCATCTCTCATGCGCCTAAAAATTCGAGTATCACATCCTACACTCGGGGGGAATCGAATCCCAGACTAGAGAGGTCTTACAACTGACAAACAGATGCCCGACCAACCGATCTGATACACACACACAAATTATATATATAGATATATATACATATGCATATGTATACATACATCTTTATGTATATGTAAATATAGATATCTAGGTATATGTATACGCACATGTATAAATACATACATGTATATGCATATATACACACATATATATTATATATGTATAACCATACATGTATGTGTACGTGTAAACATATACGTGGCGTTTGGTCACATATACGTGTACCAGGACACGTGCAAACACACATGCACACGTAACGCGGGCATGCACGCCCACGTGTACACGCATTTGTACATGTATATGTAAACATACATGGATATATATATATATTGCTTGGTATGGTACAAATTTTAGGAAGAATTGCATTCCACACAATTCTTATATATTTACATATCTAACATATAAACTTTCACATTCAGATTCATAGCACAAATCTTTCGCATCACATTAAAAAAACCACTATTACCAACTCTTTAAAAAGTGATATACACATTTTCACACAAAGTATTATGACATTAAAGTGTAATAATTATAGATATCAGACTTCAAGATGTCAGATATATAGCTACATAAGAATTATGTGGTATATATACAAATTTTCCTAAATTATATGAGGGTGCGCGAAAGTCATCAAATTAATATGACTCTAGACGAGAAAGAACATCAAACTTGTGTCAATCTACATGAACCTATTATCCTATAAATCTGCTACAAAATATAATTTCTCAAGGTTTTGAAAACCGAATTAAACTAGAAAGAGAAATTTAAGATTTAACAATCAGAGTACAATTGGAAGACAAATAAATAAAAAAAATTATTTTAATATAATTTAAATGATGCAAAAATGATATTTTAACCGATTCAATATAAAAATATTCTAAATCAGAATACTTCACTATCAAATATTTTAAATAAAATTTAAATCAAAATTTTTTAAAACACTTACAGAAATGCTTGAAAAAATATTTACTACCACTAGATTGGAGAGTCAATAACAACCAAAATTAGAAGAAATTTCAGAAATCTCTTCATAAATTTATAAGACGTTCAACTTCAAAAGAGGGTACATAAATTTAAGTAGTTTTTTTAATCAAAATCTATTATTTCTCACCATCTAATCAAAAAAAAAAAAAAAAACAATTTGATCAATTTTAGAATTGGCAGATTAATACAAAATCAGACTGATACATCAATTCAATAGTTCGGCCACTAGTTCCCACCAATTTTGGACAATTCTATGCATCAGCAACTTAGGAGCTAAATCAAATAGGCTGAATGGCCAGTTTAATGTTGAACAAATCAGACCGACCAATCCAATTTGGATTTCAAAATAATGCAATTTCTACAAGGAGCACAAAAACTAAAACATAACAGAGGCACTCAGAAGTTTCCTCAAGCCAAGGATGTTTGAATATATCAGTAAGGTTATAAATGAACCAATGCACTTGATGAACAACTCTACTCTAAGCTTAACTAATACTCAATTATGTTTGTTCAAATTAGTAAATAAACTAGTTTGAATATTTTTTTAGAACTCAAAGGTTAAATGAACCAAATTTGAATATCGTCCAACTCGTTTATTAATATCCACAAACAAGTTCGTTTGTTGTTCAACAAGTAACTTATTAAATACTCTACACTTACATGATATATTATTTAAATAAAATTAGATGAACTAGAATTTATTTAATTATATGATTAACAGAAACATATTATAATTTAATATCAATATATATATAAATTTAAAGTAATTATTTTTTTCATGAACTAGTTAGTACTTATTAATATTATTTAATTGCAAGAAAATTTATTTACAACATATACTATATTTTATTTACTTGGTAAACTAGTTAAATACTCATTTCAAATTTACTCAATTGTTTATTTATTTAGGTTAGTAAAATCATTTGTCAATAACGTCATATATAAAATCAAGCACCAATCAATTTTTTAATTTTATATTTAAAATCAAATGCTCATTAAATTTTTAGCTTTGTACAATTAATATGCACAAGCCAAGTATAAATTAAGTATGATGAAAGAAATTCAAGCAAGTAAAGTATGAGCATATATGTGAAAGCTCGGCTCAAGCTCGAAATGAATATGAACAACTTATGATGCAATG